GATCTCATTCCTAGAGGCTCTTTGGAGGCATAAAGCATGGGGATATAAGTTCAATATCTTCATTAAGGACATTTTGAAAGTCTTACATGTCTATGACTAGTGTTTCAAGATACATTAGTCAGTCTTTTTTATTTTTCTAAAGAACTTTGACAGGTTTTCCTAAAACCTGACTGTACTTTTTCTGAATACAGTGAGTCCAGAGGACCTGTGGTTTTGTTTGTTTTTTTAGATAATGAAAAAAAAAATCAGACATAGTCTTCTACTGATGCCTGCCAGGAAGTGCTAATAAAATTATATGAAGCAGAAATCTTTGAGGCTTCTGCATTTCTAAAAAACATGTTTTTAGACACAGTAACTTTTTCAGGACTACCCTACTACTGCACTTGATGTTAAAATGTTTCATAGAACAGAACACTTATTTCTCAGAACTTATATTTCCTGTGTGTATTTAATAAACTTCTCAGAGCTGAATTCCAAGTGATTTCTGTAAGAATGAATGACATAAGTTCTTTCAAATAATTAATTTCTAGTTGGTATTTAAACATAGAGCAGATGACCATCCTGAGTAACAAGATAAGTTTATCTAAAACATGATTTGCAGTCATAATTTTTACCATTGTATTTTTTTGGGGAGTTGATATAATTTAATTCTTCATTATCTAGAAGTCCAGAGAAGGAAATGACTGAAAATCACTGAACTTGATAGTGATACCTGAGACCAGATCATGGTTTTCTTAACTCTTTTTAGTGAACCTTCTACATTTTCATAGTTTTATATTTTATGAATTCTCTGATATCTGTTACCATATACTCTTGATCATTTCCTTAAACCTGGTATAGCTAATACTCATAACATTACATAAGCAACATATCTAGTATGCTTTAGTTCAAGGATCTGGAGTTTATTTTTTTTAAATAGCCAGGTTGTCTAGCGAGGAACTGATACTTCGTGGGCTCACCATATAGTTGCATACACCCTGGTTATCACTAACAGACTTTTATTCTTCTCTTTTTTACCCCTCATCAGAATTTCAGAAGCCCAGACATGGGGTACAAATTAGCCTTTAAGATTTGGATATCCAAGAGTAACAGCTACGCTGTTGAGGAAAAGAGAACCCTAACAGAGGGTGTGGTTGGTGCTAAGGGTAAAGAGAAGGAAGGAGGAAGTACAGTGAGAAGAATTCTGGGTCCTGGGCTTCAGAAAACCATGAGCACAGAGTGAAGGAGGGAGAAAAGTTGGTTAAGCCCCTGGGTATATGGGGTTCCAGATCTTTGAACTGAAACTAGTAGGATCCCAGCTCCTATGATCTCTGCCCCAGAATGTTCTGAAAATAAGCCTTGAGAAACCTAAGTTGGCAGTTCTAGCTCTGAAACTCATTTTTACTATGGGGTAGAATTGCTACATTTTCCTTCATCTGATATGCATTGGACTTGTGAAAGGAAGAATATCAGATGCCTAAGTGCCTAACCTGAGGTAGAAACAGAAGCAGCATTAATTTGCCTCTTATCAGTAAGAAATGTTTATGCTCCTGTGCAGTTCTATGCATATAAATTGGATTTATCAGGATTAAATGAGAATGAACTCTGATTATAATTCAGTCTGGAAAACAGTAGCCTGTGAACCACCTTTCTTTGCAGTTTGAGAGGTTGTGCATTTTTTTTATTACAAAGTTTATTTTTACATCATTTTGCACATTTTTTTTTTCCATCTCAATTGTAATCCCCGCGGGTTTCCCATCACCAAATCACCCCTGTGCCACCACC